AAAGCACATGGGACACTGTAGCTGCTTATAAATTCCTCGTGACCCCTGGACTGAGAGTCCCTTCAGGGCACTCAGGGTCTGCCATGGCAGTGCACACACTAAGTCCTGAATTAATATTTGCTGAACAGATGAATAAGTGAGTGACTGGCTGCTGCAACTCCGGAAGGCTTTTGTTTCACTATAATATGGGGACAAAACCCTGGCTTCCCTTGGTTCCCATACCTCCCTCCATACTGCATGTTTTCCGAATACAAATGAAAATTTACTAAGCTGGATGGAAAAATACAAATGTCTTGGTTGGGTATGGTTTCTAGATTCATTAAACTGAGCCCTGGGAGAAACTGAACTAATACAATTCTGAAGCTAATCTCTCCTTGAAGTCATTCCATAAATCTGATTAATGGGTCACCTTTAGACCACAAGCACACTTGCTATATTAAAAGAAAATGCTCTAATGGGATGGTAATTCTGTTAACAAGGCTTCTGCTGTTTGCAGAAAGACATTTTTCTCACAGTATAAACAAGCCTAGGCTGGATGATGCATGGGATTAGGACAGGAGCAAAACTCTTAGGGCTCTAGTACTCAATTGCATACAAATGAAAAACAAAGAGCATCAGTTTTTCAAATGCGTAAATCTGAGATGAAATGGATAAAGCCAGTGTGTGAGATATAAGCTTTTGTGTTACTTCTCAGAAAAAAAAAATTGTCCTCTCAGATCTTGTATTCTTTGCTGATATCCGTCATGTGTCACTGATATGTGGCAAGAGGACATGCCCTTTAGCATCAATCAGTTAAGATAATAACTTTGCTTATCTAGAATTTCCCAGCTTCCTATGCTGGGGTCTTTTATAGAATCAATGAGTTGGAAGAACTTCAGGGACATATAGTATAGTATGTCCCAAAGTGTGTATATTCCTGTTAATATGTGGAAACCAATTTACAAGTAGTCAAGGCTCAAAAATATTTTAAGATTTTAGTGTTGAGGACATGGAGGTGGCCTCTCCAACATCTGTTCCCCCTTCCCCCTTGGAAACTATCTCATTTTTCCATTGGATTTTACATCTTCCCTGAATGGCCCATATGCTTTCAGGGAAGCTTACTTCTTGCTGAGCTCTATGGGTGGGGATTGTGGCTCAGGTATAACCTAATTAGCACAATCCCATCCCCTCCCCCTAGGAATTGGTTCAGGGATGGGCAAGTGACCAACTGGGGGCCACTGAGATGTGAGGAGGATCTAAAGTATAAGCTTTCTTAACCTTCGAAGAGGAATACCAGAAATATCTTTCTTTTCCCCTTTGAGAATTAGCACATGTAGATGTGTAAAGAGGTTCCCATATTGAGGACAAACTTCAAAAGAAGAACCCTCTTTTGCAGAGACTCCAGATTTCTAAGATATTTTAAAGTAAAGTTTGCAAATTAGTGTGCTCATAGGCAAAATAGAAACTTAGGTCAAATAAAATAGGTCTGAAGTGTTTGAAAAAAATCACATCAGTTACCAACTAACATAAAATCAGTTAAAATCAGGTTATTTCAAATAAAAATAAAAATATTAATTTCTAGTTGCTACAATAAATCTCAGATAATCTGGCAGCACTAGTCCTATATTTCCACATGATAACAACTAGCAGGCGCTGAGTGGCCAGCTGTGCCTCCCCAGTTTGCCACAGTCCCCACCATTCCCTACTGTCCCAACACTGATACCAAGCGTCGTTTGCCATTTATAAGTACATGAGTAATATTGCTTTTAAAAAATATTCAGTTAATTTCACTTAATTATCTATCTGGCTCCTGTAGCCACTTGTTTTGCTATATTTGAAAAAGTAAAATTTCCCAAACTTAGGTATTAAAAAAAATTTCTAAGTCCCAGTAAGTTCAGAGCAACACTGAGTTAATTAAAGATTAATAGATTTCTTTACTATGTATCTTTCCTTACTTCTTTATGGGCCACCAGTCAGGAAGGCTGGTATACATTTTGTGGCCATGGGTATCTTTTTTCAGAGAACATTTCTTTGTCACTGTTATTCTACTGAATACACTTTGGGAAATATTGCCAGGAAAACTCTTTATGTCCTTTCTGCCAGTGAGCTGGCGGACTGTCTGTTTTTTTGAGATTATTATCACCTCAGCTTTCTTAATATTCCTTGGAAGCTACTCTGAGAACAGAACAATAGCCTGGCCTTGGTCCAGCCAGCTCCCAGCACAGGTGAGTCTGTGGTCTGATACACACCGAGATTATTCCCAAGAACAGGTCCATTATATTAAGATGTTCTGGCAGAGCGGGGAGAACAGGACCAGGCTCATTAAGGCCCACACATGCATTCCTCCCCAAGGAACCAGCTTCCTGGCTGGGCATTCTGCATCTTCTATGAAAAAAAAAAACAACAAAGGAGAAAGGTAGAAAACAAAAAGTGATGGTGTACTGGTGCCAAAAGAAAAATGGTGCTTTCTTAAAAATCTCCTCTTCAAAGAAAGTCGTCACACCCCAGCAGTCATTTCTTCCTCTCCTTATAATTTTCTTACTTAAAGGTGAGGAATGATTAAATCTTAAGTCTGGGTGTCCAACCTGCTTACAACATTCAAGACAATTAGCTCTAGCTAAAGAAAAAATATCCTTCAGATTAATTTTTCTAGATGTGCAATTGTGGCCCTCCAAGCAAAGAGGCCAGAAGCTCATTTGCCACTGAGGGACAAGCATGATGTTTCTTGTAGGGGTTCTTTAGAGACAGTCAAGTCCTCGTATCAGATACTCCTTGGAGGTTTCCCCTGGCTACAGCTTTCCAAGTAGAGTTTGGCTCATAAACCCTTTCAGCTGCCAGCTCCAACTTGGTCACCTTTCATTCCGCATGGGAAGAGAATTCTTCCTTGGAAGTAAGCAGTCTCTAAATGGCTGGAGTGCACAGCTCAAAGCAAATCCCTTTCATTCTAATAAGGACGGGAGCCATGGGTTCACTTCAATTATTTGCTCAGTCGAACCTTTGTAGAACAACAGCATGCATAAAATTACATTAAATAAGGTGACAAGACAGGTGGTAGGCAGTCTTTGCTTTAGTTGGTACAACACCGGAGGGAACTCTCAAGGATGGGCTTAATGATGAAGAAAATGAGTTTTAGATTCTAAAAATAAAGCAATCTCGGGTTGCATTTACTGAGCATTTATTATGTCAGGTGTAGTACTAAGCATTTTCTAAGGATTATCTTGTGCAATTCTCACGACCACTCCAGGAAATGTATCAATTCTAAGAATGACAAAATGAGGCTGAGAGAATTTACTTCGCTTGCCTAAGGTCATGCAGTTAGGAAGAGCTGGAAACCATGTTCCACCCAGGCAGTGCGTCTCCTGCCCTGGTTCTCGTAACACAACACTCGACCGCTCCCCTTAAAAGCAGAGATGCCTCTTCCCTCCCAGCATCCCCAAACATGCTCGAATATGTTCGTGGCGACACTGTACTAAGAAGGGATGAGAATTCACGTAAAATTCTTAGATGTTGGACAAATTTGAAGCAGTAAAGAACCACATAACAAAGACCTCCTAATTTTAAAAGACAGACTCAATGCTTTTTTGTTTTTGTTTTAAATTTTAGACAATGATCCTCACTGTAAAAAATTGACAGCTTCCCTGAGATAAAAGAGTGATATTTCCCTACTTCATCCCTTTATAAGCAGTAGCTGCAGTGGTAGCAACCACAGGAAGAACTGAGTTGGGGTAGTGAGTCCTCCCCGGAGTTTTTGCCTTACCTGCTGTAGCAGAGGCACTCTTGGCTATTGATGACTGTATCCAATTTGAACCTCCGGAGGTCTTCCCACGCGTCCTTGATGGCAGTGACTACCATGATGGCACAGATTGGTATCATGCTCACCACAGGCTGGAAAGCATTGACCACAGGGACAAAATTCAGAATTGCAATGCCCACAAAATAGAGATTGGCAAACCGGTGTAGCTGCTCAAAGATGTTCTTGGGGACGAAGGACAACACGGTGTACTTGCTGGTCTTAATTTGATTCCCACAGTGATGTCTGTTGGGGTTCTCTTTAGGGGACCTTCCTTCAAAGGGCAGATTGGAGACCACCACTCGTTTCTTGTCTTCTTTCCTTTTCCGCCGTTTCCTCCCTTCCTTTCTCATCTCTGCTCAATCCTGTCTCTTTAATTCTCATAATTTAATTCTCATCTTTTACTTGCCTTCTCTGCTGACAGTTTATCTCTCTTCTTTTAAAAGGAAACTAAAAATGAAAAGCCAGCACACAAACAGCAGGCGAGAAATGGGCAAGGAAGGAGCTTACAGGGAACAGGTGTGTATCCACCAGGCCACTTCCTGCTACTTCTTTGAGACTCCACCTATTGGAATGTAGACGTCACCCACAGGTATCTTCCTTTTCCACTCGCAGGCAGCCAAGAACAGGTGTACTAACTCTGGGTCCTAAAACCTACCTGGTTAAGTTTTAAAAGCATTATCTTTACCCAAGAAACTCAGAGGCTTTAAAAATGGCATAGATTTTCTTGTTTGGGTGACATTGCTTGACATCCTTCAAAGAATTTCTCCTGAACTTAATCTCCTGAGATGATTCAGTCATTCTAGAGTTTAATTCTTGAGCTTTTCAATCCACTCTTAATAATGTAACATCCTTGTGCTTAATAATATGAGTGTTTACACAAGTTAAAACGAGGTTTTAATCTTACTCTCAGCATATTGACATTTTCGACTGGATAATAATTGGTTGGGGGCGGGGGGAGGCTGTGTTGTGTGTTGTAGGATGTCTAGCAGCACCCAGCTTCTACCCACTAGATGCCAGTAGCACCTTTTCTCCCAGTATGACAACCAAAAATGTCTTCAGACATTACCAAATGACCACTAGGGTCAAAATTTCCCCCAGTTGAGAATCTCTGAATTAGATGAATTTAAGGAAATATAATGAAAGAAAAGAGACCAATCCTTTAACCATGCTGGTGAGTGTGCATTACCTTTTTGCACAAGAGAACACAGAGAGATGATTTCCCCCTTACCTTTCATATATTCGAATGCTGGAACAATTTATCTCTTTATCAAAGCGGTGTTTCTTGAAGTCCTCTACACCGTCTTTGACCATGATGATGAACAGGACAATGGCCAGTGGCAGCATGGTGATTTCCCTGTGGAAGACTTCCATGGAGGGTATCCAGTTCAGAATCACCAGGAACAGGAAATAGAGGTTAGCCCATCTGGAAGGGGCAAGGATGGTGTGTGTAAAATCCATGGAGAAGAAAAATACACTCTCTCCTCTGATTCTTCCCCACTGTTGGCCCTTATCAAGTAAAATGACACTCTTCTTTCAATGTCACCTCAAACATTACAGAAAGTGCTTTGAAGCCAAACTGATCTATATTTAAACTCTGTTCCTATTGTTTAATAGTTTTGTGACCTTCCTGAGCTTATTTCCTCTTGTGTAAAATGGGGATAGAATTACCTACTTTAAAGGGATCTTATAAATATTACATGGTATTGCTGGGCGTGGTGGCTCTCACCTGTAATCCTAGCACTCTGAGAGGCCGAGGAGGGAGGATCGCTTGAGGTCAGAAGTTTGAGACCAGACTGAGCAAGAGTGAGACCCCGTCTCTACTAAAAATAGAAAAATTAGCTGGGTGTATTGGCACATGCCTGTAATCCCAGCTACTTGGGAGGCTGAGGCAGGAGGATTGCTTGAGTCCAGGGGTTTGAGGTTGATGCGAGCTAGGCTGATGCCACGGCACTCTAGCCCAGGTGACAGAGGGAGACTCTGTCTCAAAAATAAATAAATATATAGAAATAAATAAATATTACATGGTATAATATTTGCTAGGTACATAGTAGAGTGTTCTGGAGCATATTAGTTGCTCAATAAATGGTAGCTTATAATAATAATTACAAAATTTAGGATGATATATAAGCACATATTTTGACCTTTAATTAAAAATGATCCCATATATTATCGCAAAAGAGTGGTTTATGTTTTTAAGGTTTTAAAGTGCATCTTGTTCTCCCTTGCCACAGTGCCTTTACACATGCAGGTCTGTCTGCAAGAACATTTTCCTGCCTCCCCTCTATGACTTCTCTCTGCCCCTTTTCACCCAGTTAATACATTTTCTTCTTTCAGGTTATACTTCAATTCCCCAACTTCCTCAACTAGACCAGATCTCCCTATTATTCACTATATTAACACCATATACCTCTCCTTGGAAGTATCTATTCTAGTTATAACTTTATATCAATTTATATCATTCAAAACATTAATGTCTATCTCTTTCACTAGACATACACTCAATGAGGACAGTCTCTCTCTCTCTCTCACTCTTTTTCTCACGTATTCCTAGCATCCAACACATGGCCTGAAACAGAGTAGGACCTGATAAATATTTGTGGAATGAATGAATGAATGATGAAAACTTCTTAAGGTACATGTATTTGGATATTAAAGGAAAGGGGTGGCTCTCAGGTCATTTAAATGGCAAATATTTGATTAAAACGTGTCTTGTTTGAACAGGTGGGTCTGTACCTGTGAAACTGCTCAAAGAGATTCTGGGGCAGGAAGGTGAAGAGGGTATATTTGGTCGTGCAGATTCTGTTGCCAGGGTAGCTCCTGGAGACCTTTTCCCAGTCCCGGTGGAAGGTGCTGTTGTTGGGGAACACGACCCGCTGCTGTGTCAGGTTGTAGCTCCGCCTCCCCTTCTCTGGAGAGATCAGTGGTGTGGTTTCCGATGGAGACTGCAGGGACCCGTCTCTGACCCGCCACTGCCACCGGTGCCAGGAGGAGTCCACTGAGAGGGCCATTCCTGGCAGCAGGCTAAGGTCTGAAAACAGACACGTGAAGTCACTATGGTCTGCAGAAATGTATGACACGTCGGCCTGTTCACTGGTTCCCATCCACGCAGGGTAGACACTGGGGTATGGTGTCAGAAAAGTAGGCTCAATCCCTGTAATCCACACACTCAGAATCTAGGGTGAGACATCAGTCACATAATCACGTAAATAACCAAACAACTCACACTGCGGTAAGTGCCGTGGAAGCATGTAAGTGGGGTGGAAGGTGTTGATGGCCTAGCTGGGGCCGTCAGAGAAATGCTGAAGCGTGGCCTAGTGGGCTATGACTCGAATCAGAATTCTAGTTCTGGTACATTCCTAACACTGAACTCTCTCTTCTCAGTTTTTCCACCCTGAAATGAGAAAAACTATTCTTACTATACTTTTTTTCCACAAGATTTTTGCGAGGAACAATTTGGACAGTACATAAAAATATGTTGGGACATATCTTGGAACTAAGGGGAAAGTATTTATTCTTTAGGTTTTCTGCAGCTCTCAAATTTTCTGATACTGGTGACATTTTGGAGAAACTCATGTGGACTCAGAACCTCAAAGGAGAGTGATGACGTGGACTAGAGGAGACAGGCCCTTTCCTAGGAAATTTGGGCCTCAGGGGACTGGGCTGTTCTACTCTCATTCCATGGCTCTTTCTGATCTGGTTGGCTGGGGGTGGGGATGGGAGATCCCTTCTTTTCTCTCCACTCCATTTGGTAGGTTCTGAAACCAAGCACTTGGTCAAGCAGACGCTCCTCCCAGATGACAAGGAGTGCTGCTTTATCTAGGATGTTCCAGTTTCTGAGCACTTTTAATGGAACCTACAAGGAAACTCTAGAAGTTCCTTTTGGCCAAATTTTGCTTAAAGACCCAGAAGGGTATTCTTCGAAGACATACTTTGTAAAGTTAGAATTTGGGTATAATGGGCCTTCTCACTTAGTAAGCTCATAGGATGATTTTCTTTTGAATAAGTGGATGAGAGAATGTCGAGTATTATTAATCTTACGATGAACAACCCAGTCTGTAATTGTAAATACGATCACTTAGGAAAAAGAGTTTTATTTCTACTTTAAATGATAATATTTTATCTTCTGGATGCCCATATGATCTGATCCTCATCATAATTCTCCTCATGGCTTTAATCAATCCAAATGATTTTCAATCCACAGATCCCACCGCTGTGGGAAGCTCTTCAGAGCCTAAGTAAGCCCTTGTAGCAAGCATGAAAAAATAAATGCAATTACGATGTCTATCATAACGTGACTAAAAGCAATATGATGACATTTAGCAAGCCAGAAATAATATCCTATATCTTCTTTTTCATTATAAAAAATATGCTCCCTTCATGGATTCCTTTTTTTTAATGCAAAGGAAAATGAAATGAAAAGATAATTCACAAATAGAGTTGAAAATGCAAACGAGAAATCTTGCCTTGGATAACACCATACATATCAGACTTCTCTCACTTTTAGGTGGCAAGATTATCTTAAATGAAGAGCTTGGATTGATATGAGAAATGCAGGTGGGATACTTTAAAAGATCATTTATCGTAATCTTTATTTTTCTTTTTTAACAATGTAAAATAAGCTTCCTTAAAAATAAAGCAGATGTAACATGGATGCCAAATTAGTGGATGAAAATTTGATGAGGAACTATATATTTCCATAGTTTTCAAAATATCCTTCCCCAATATTATTAATTACAATGATTAAAATGAATCACTTTGTAGTGGAGAAATCTGACAGACACCACCGTACCCAAGAGATCAAAGTAAGAATCACCCATATTGGGATAAGCTGACACCTTGTGCCTTCTGGTGTGATGTGCTGAGAAGAACACAAGTCACTTTGGTGTAGAAACATTAAAAAACCTCAAACTGAGGGCTATTCTGCAAAATAAGTAGCTTGTGTTTTTCAAGTGGAAAAGGTCAAAGAAAAGCAGAGGAACTGTTTATGATTAAAGGAAGCTAAAAATATGTGAAAACTAAATGTGATCCTGTATTGAATCCTAGACTTGGGGGAGATAAAATAGATACTATATAAAGACATTATTGGACAATGGGAAAAATTTGAATATGAGCAGCAGATTGGTTCATGGTATTTTAATAATGTCTAATTTCCTGATTTTGATGATTATATGATAGTCACATACAAAAATATCCTAGTTCTTAGGAAATCCTCACTTAAGTATTTAGTGGTAAATAGCAAGATGTCTCAATGATTCAGGAAAAAAATGTATACGTATATATGTGTACACACACACACACACACATACACACACACACACACACACACACACACACACACAGTGACACAGTCAGGAAAGGCTTCCTGGAAAAAGGAACATTTATTTAAACAGTTACCTGAAGAAACACGTAAGAGTTAGCTAGGTAGAGAGGTTGGCCAAGGGTGCTGGAGGTGGAGGAATCAGTTCCAGAAATGGAAAGTTACGCTAATAGAGTACAGGGAACTGCGGGGACGAAGACGGGCAACAGCTGAGGCTGGAGAGACTGACCGGCTCAGAAAGCCTGGTGAGGCTACTATGCTGAAAGCAAGGAGCCCTGAAGAGTTTAGCCGGGAAGTGATATGATGTCACTTATTCAGGCCGAAGCACTTAAAAGGACTGGAGGGAGGCAGCATAGGGGCCAGAAAGCAGCTCTCTAACACTCTGCCCTTTCTTCCTCCAGATAAAGTATTTCTTCCCAGCAGTGGAGCAGGAAACAAAGGGGATTGTGGGATCCTTTATCTGAGGTATGGTTTATTACTGGTTTCAGAAATTGTAGGGAGGGGCCTAAACCAACTCCCCAAGGTCCTTTCAGTTGTAAAGTCTCTCACTCTAGTTTTTCTGAAATGGCACCTCCTACTAAAAATAAACTTGGTTGCCTAGTTTTGCTAGTTGCACTCAGATCACCTCTGGCTAGAAGCAGTGATCCTCTCAAGCACCACCTTTATTGTCCTTGGGGAGAATGTCTTTTAGATGGGAGGGGACAATTCTATATAGTAGACCATGGCCTAATACTGTGTTAACTGCAATTTTCTGAGGAAGCTTGTTTCTCTTTCCCAAACGTTTTCTCCTCCCTGCCTGGCTCACATTTCCAATGGACTCCAGTTCCTTTCTTTTTCATTTTTATGAACCCGAATACACCCCATCTTTAGCAAATTCCATTTTCACAGTTAGGGAGTCAAACAACTAGTTGTTCATTGAATCAACAAATACTTACTGAACCCTTGTTTGTACCAGGTGAGTAAAACCTACACAGACATCCCTCTCCACCCGAGCTTACGTAGTGCAGCTGAGAGATTTTAAATACACACTCCTAGAAATAAATGTTAATATATTAATTATATATATATTAACATATTAATATATATTCACCAACAGGCATAAATCCCACTGTCAAAAGACAAATCACAACAGGTTTAGTTTAAAGATTTTAATTGGCTTTATTTGCAATTCTAGAATTGGGCAACCTATTCTATAAAACAGAGTAAGTGTTCCAACGAGCTGAGCAGAGGAAATTGGTTTTATAGACAGAAAGGGCTGAAGAAAGCAGAAACAAGGAATAAAAAGTGGATTGGTCATTTCAAAGTTACTTTTCTTATAAGGCCAGAACAGAGAAACAACAGAAAAATAACTGATGGTTACTTCAGGTTACTGTTTGTTGTAAGGATTAAAGGCAGAGGGAACTTCATTATACTGATTGAAACTGGCCTGTTTGGGAAATTTGGCTATTATCCCTCTCTCCTGATTTTTTGCAAGGTCAGATAACAACATAGTTTCAGTTTGGTGACAGAACTTTAGTATGAGTGACTCCACTTTGATTTTTATTCTGGTCTATTGGGGCCTAGTGCAGGAACTCGGTCCAAAAACATGGCCTATCCATTTGCAAACCTTCTGGTAGATCAAGGAAGGATTTGGAATAAAGCAATCTTATTATCAATTTCTTACCCATTTTGTTTTTTCTACTTATCTTGATTGGATTTGCTTGAGGAAATGGCCATTGCTTTTATGTAGTCTTTCACTGATTTTACACAAACCCGTTTACAGATGAAGAAATGAATGTTGGGGGAATAGGATGATTTCTCTACAGAGCCCGTAATGTCTTCCTACTCCCTTTCAATAAAAGCTATATTTACTAGAATCCAAGATGTCATTTTATTCACATTTTAATATTCTGAACCTCGATTATTTCACATAATATGATATGGTAGTGTTTATTTATTTAATTGTTTTTACACACTCAAAGTATTATTAAACTGATGGCATCTTAGATTCAAGAAAATCCATGTAGTTGTAGAAACATGTGCCAGAAAACAGAAATCACCACTTGAAAGACTCTCAATAAGTTTTCTAGTACTGGGACCTCTCCAGGAAAGTTCAGCAAGGCCTTGGTGGGAAAGGACTAGTCCAAGGGGAGACCTTACTCTGCAGTGGGGTTTGGAGAGGCGAGACACCTCGGGGAAGGCTGAAGTTCAGAATCCTCATCTGCATTGCACTCAGCCACGGGAGTCTACATCCAGCGCTTGTATGTAAGCAGTTCTTAGAAGCACCGGAAAGTGCCCTGTCCTTCCCAATGGGAAGAGCAGGAGCTGGAATTGTGTCTCATTAACAGACTACAGAACCTGTCCTACAGTTAGGATGCCAGATGCTGCCTTCCTCTAGAGAGGAAAAAATATTGAGTAAGAAACGTGTGCAGGGGTGGGATGGAGATTGTTGTCCCCCACTATGAAGAGTGGGAAAGGAATGGGAGAGTGAGAAAGAAATAGCATCACTTTAAATAACATTAATCAAAGGATACAATTCTTTGGTTGATAATTAAAGCACATGACAAATGAAATCCTTTAGAATGGGCCTTTGTGGGAAGGGAATGATGGAAGGGGAGACCTTCTCGTGCCTTGGCATCGTCAATCTGCCTTGCTTAACCTCCATCACTAGCCTTTGAGCTAATGCTCTGATTGGTTTTCTCTTAGCTCCCCATCCCATAAGAGCCTTCT